GGGAGGGTTCCGATTGCACACATCGCATATTGCACACATGTATCGCTGATTGGCCAATTTAAAAATAAAATAATCTCATTGGCAAAACACTAAAAAATTACTAGGCACCAGTTGATATGAGTGGTGTGTACAATCAGAACTGTAGGCAAACGGGATCCTCCCCATAATAGTTATAATTTTACACAATTTTTTACAATGCGCTTGAGATTAGAGAAGCCTCTAGGCTCATCCACTATGATTGTTGGTCGTCGATTTAAAAAAAAGTAACGGAAAAGTAACGAAAAGTTATTTTCTCAAGTAACGGTAACTGTAACGAGTTACTTTTAAAAATCGGTAACTAGTAACGGTAACTTGTTACTTTTTTTACTCGGTAACGAGTAACTGTAACTTGTTACTTTTAAAAAGTAACTTTCCATTCCCTGCATATTTCATTCGTTAAATATTAAAAATATAAGCATTCAAATACTTTCGTATGTGTGTATATTTCTCAGGTAACAAAATGTTGACAGGTTATTAGCAAATTGTCAGTAAATTAGAGCAAAACTGGTGACATACTTGTCCATAATCCACAAGATCTAACAGCAGGATTTATCATCAGAAACTAAGCAGATTCGCCTAAGGAAATAATTTTAAACTGTTTTATTAAAAGATATTAATATACAAAGTGTCCCAGATCTACAGGACCACCTCTCATGAGCATGAAGTAAACCGGATTAAACTCAGTCAAGAAATTATCTGATATTTTGCAATTTATGCAAACTATTCTATACAGAGAGCCCGGCAAACTTTAAATACAAGAAATAGACGGATATCACTTGGCAACAGTCCTGCAAGTATTTAGTGACAACACAGATTCTATTAATAATCTAACAACATTGCGTTTAACAGATCTTCAATTTCTGTTAATAATTTGTTGTCAAAATATACTCCAGATTTGTTTCTTTTGTCAGTCTGTCATTCAGTTTTGCTAACAAATTCTGTTACATTTCCTTCAGCCAGTTGTTCAACAGCGTTGTATATATATGTCTAATCAATAGATCAATTCTGTTGCTATTCTGCTGACATAGTATATAGCAAATACTTTAAATTCTATTTTTGACAGGCTTAACTCTATCTGGGTTTATTATAAAATAGAGATAATTACTTCAAAAATAATTGACATTAATAAAAAAAAGAGAAAAAGAAGGAAAAAGAAAGAATTAAGAATATCAATAATATTAATATGTTGTAAATAATGATTACCTACCATCACTGAATATTACAGATTTTTGTCCTTCTGCACGATGTTTTGAACCCTCTCTTTTTAAAACACCCACAGGTACCATCACCGCTGGTGGTGGCGGCAAACCGCCAGCTAACTGTTGCAAGGGTGGTACAGTTGAACAGTACTCCATGGGATTATTTGGATTAGGCTGTCTCTCCTGTAATCATTTGTTGAATACTCATAATATCAACATTCGTTCAATACTCAGAATATAAACATTTGTTCAATTTCTCAGCAAACATTTATTAAACAGACATATATAAAGAAATATGATTCTTTTTTATACTTAATATATTTTTACAGTAATGTTGGTAAGAGGAATCTCTACGTCTCTTTAAAGGACCAAAAAAAGAAAAATCGATAAATTTTAAAGATTACTTTTAATATTATGTTGATATTACAAAGATTATTTTAAATGTTTTGAAATAATTATAAATATACGAATTATAAACGTAAATATAAGTTACAATTATATTACAACAAAATAAGATTCCTTACATTAAAAAAATTAACAAATTATAAATGGGATTTTAGGAATCGGTGTTATAATAAATGTGCGTTTATTTCGATTGATCTAAAACAATCTTCTACAATAATAATAAAATAATAATTAAATGAGTTATAGACCCCTTAAATTTTCTTGTAATCGCACACATTGACAATTGAAAGTATGAAGATACTGACTGCGATTTATTTTTGCTGTACTTGTTAATGTTGAATTGCTGAAGATGACTCAAACAGGAGTCGAAAGGTACGAGGTTATATGATATTTTTGATGTAATAAATTCTCGAAATTTTAACAACTAGAGGTCCTATTGCCTTTTTTACGAATTAAATCCTCTACAAATAATATATTTGTCGAACGTTTCGGCTATCTTCTAGCCTTCATCAGCGAATGTATTACATAAAATCCATAAAAATCTTCATCCTGTGGTTACCTTCCGACATCAAATTTCCCATAATCAGTTAAGGGGATGCCGGAGTGGCCAAATTGTCGGTATTTTACAGATCAATTTACATCTTCGAATTTACTTAAGGGGATGCTGGAGTGGCCAAATTGTCGGTAATTTGCAGGTCAATTTACATCTCCGAATTTACTTAACGAAATCAAAAATCCTTTTACAGGGTTA